CGAAAGATGGAGAAATAGCTGTAGATCTCAAACAATTGTCTGAACAAGGGATCAAAGATGTTGTAAGTATCTCTGTCCTTCACTTGTTTTCAAGTTTATGTGCACAACAAACACTCACCGTTGCTTCCGCTTTGTTGCAGAGAGTTGTGGAGAGTGTTGGTGACCCAAAGCATGGTATATTGTTCAACCCGAGCTCACTGATAAACATGCTGGCCGGTTTGGTGGAGTAAATAGTGATTCTTTAGGCCAGAGTTAGTTTCTTCTTTTACGCAAATGAAACCATGGATATTTTTTTGTTACTGTTTAATTTTGATCCTTTGGTGAATTGATATAAAAGGTTGGTCAATGATCATATACTTAGCTAAGGAAAGACAAACGCCCTTTCTCTCGGAGTTGGATGATATATTTTTTGATGGAACAAGTACCAAAAACAGAGTTGTTGTTCGAAGAGCAATATAATGATAGCCTTGGGTCAAATATGGGTGTCTCATTCTCGAGACAAGAAGATGCCACCCGTTGAAATAATAGTCACCTTTGGGAACTATGCTTGGGACAATGTCAAAATCAGCTGAGCTACCAACTTGTGATCTCAGTTAAATGCCAATCTTTAAACTACTTCTGAGCCCTTGACCCTCCAAGGAAACAAGACTGATTTGGATTTGTCATGCATCACAAAACTGCCTCATAAAATCACGCGTGTTCAGGTTTAGCACTTTTAGGACACGGCAAAATGATTCATGCTCGTCTGATCCATCATGGCTTTCAAGGATATGCTTATGTTGGTTAATCCCTTGGTTAGAATGTATGCCAAGTGTGGAGATACTACTGAGTCAAACCGAGCGTTTGGTCTTTGGTGACATAGCTAACAAAGATTTGGTTACTTGTCGAAAACCAAGTAAAATCTGAGATCTTTGTTAGCTTACCATTCTTCTTGGAAGTCTTATAAAAAGTTGATTATTTCACAATCCTTATGAATCTAATTGATGATCTTTGAAGGAGTTAAAATGTGTACATTTACCCAGATGTTTCTATATTATCCGTTTCAATAACTATGTCAACCAGATTCATAGTTACCCGAAATCTAATATCTAGACTAGTGACCAACGTTGTGTTGGCCCAGTGGTAAATCTCACAGGTGGAGGTACTGGGTTTGACGCCCGTTGGGAGGGATCTCTTCTCCAAAGGAGATGAATCTACGTATATATTTTTACTATAAATAGGCTCAGCGGAAAAGAAAAAAAAAAGATACAATAAACATGTTTTCACTTAAAGTAAGATTATTAATCCCATATGATATTGGATTGGGTCCTAAATAATTTCAAAAACCCTCAACATGGTTTTGCTCACTTTTGCAATTTGCATAAAAATATGAGAATAGAAATGATACCTTCAACAAACACAGCCTGCCATGAGATTGGGAGGGCTCTAAGCCTATAAAATTATGTGGTCTTTTTCAGTTGAGTTCAGAAAAAAAATCACTTGTTAAATAACCAATGTAAATTATTGAAGGATGAATTTAACTGAAGATTTCTTAACAAGTTTGACACAGTGATCATAAATCATAATGCTCACAACAGTAGAAGGTAATTTTTATGTTTTGTGGAATTGGAAAAAAAACAATTCAACTGCTTTTTATTTGACTGATTATATTCAAGTATAACGTAGAAGATTTTTTTTTTTTTTCTGATTATCTTTCTTCTACAGTGACATCCAAAGTGTAACTTGAAAGAGAAATCATTTTTCATTTTAGTAATGGCCAAATTTTGTTTTTGTTCAATATCTTTTTCATTGTTAGCTTTTATTCAAAATTTTTTTGTCATTTCAATACCTGACTCTTATAAGTCAAGTAGATAGACATAAATATTACCAAAATATTAAACTTGTAGGATGACGATGACGCAGCCATTTGAGCCCATGCTCCATTGCTCCTCCATTCAGTGATTGGACGGGACATATAAAATATGTATTGTCTAAAGTCACTTTGTTTTTAGTCATTCGTTGCGGATATGACAAACAAATCAACTTTCTAACAGAATTTATTACAAAAATATGTAAAGTACACGCCAAAAGAGAAAAATGTACTACTTTCATCACTTAACATAAACTATGCTATTTTTGACTAAACCTAAAGTGCATACATACTACGAGGATCCTAACCAAAAAGCAAATGCAACTTGACTTAAATCCATCTTGGTGAGATTTTTTGAAATAAAATTGGACCAATATCATGAATTCGTATTCCGATAGTAAAAAGGAAAATAGGTTGTAAATGTTTTTAGCTCTTTTCGTTTCGGTTCAAAGATAAATGGAACAAACCTAGATTTTTTTGTAGTAAAAAGAAAATACTATTATAGAACATATCTTGTCTATTTTATAACATATATCTACATCTCATTCAAGTTTTAGAATAGTATTATTTTCTATTTTTTAATTGAAAACAAAATCCATTATTTTGTGGAATTTGCTCAGAGTACAAGCAAAAGCGAGAACTCCAAGTGGGGAGAAGATTCCTGTAATTCATTCTAAATTGGAAAAACACAGGGTATGTCTAAAGATACAACTTTAACTTATTACATAACCAACCAAACACTGAAAAAGGTTATTTTAGTGTTTACGAAGAAAATTCGACGACCTTTTATAACCCCAAACGTGGTGTAAAATCTTTAAATCCTTGACCACTAGACCAAAAGGTTTCCGAGTTGATTTTAATCTAATAGCATATATTGAACCAAATAAACCAAAACCACAAATGCACTCAAAATACAAATAAGGAAGTTCAACATTTACTTCACATTTTACCAAAAAAAAAAAAAAAAAAGGAAGTTCAACACAAAAAAATAAAACAATAGGGAAGTTTTTTCTTCCAAAGATCACGGCGCAAGTAATGCAAAGTAACATCACCCCCAATTGGATTCAAGTCAAGTTGCATTTGCTACGATTGGATCCCATTGTGCAATCCTAAATCTATAAATACTCTTCCTTCTATCCTCACTTCTTCACCACACTACAACGCCATTAATCATTAGCCCAAAAAGAGTAAAGACACATAATAATTTCTTCTATTTTCTAAAATCAATATGCCATCAATCATGGTCTTGGTCACTATTTTTACCATTCTTTTCACGACGTTCAGTATCTCTCAGGCCACGTCTCGTACTGTAACCTTTCACGAACCGTCGTTGCATGAAAAACATGAGCAATGGATGGCTCGATTTTCTCGTGTATACCGTGATGAGCTCGAGAAACAAATGAGACGCGATGTGTTTAAGAAGAACTTGAAGTTCATTGAGAACTTCAACAAAAAAGGGAACAAAAGCTACAAGCTTGGTGTCAATGAATTCGCGGATTGGACCAACGAGGAGTTCCTAGCAATACATACCGGACTCAAGGGCCTATCATCCAAAGTGGTCGACAAAACGATATCGTCTAGGTCTTGGAACATCAGTGACATGATAGGCGTGAGCAAGGACTGGAGAGCTGAAGGAGCTGTGACTCCTGTCAAATACCAAGGCCAATGCGGTAACACTACCTACGTTTTTTTGGCTATATATACACTAGTCACTACCAACGTTCCTTTAATTTTCATACTTACGTCTGACTGTTTTAAACAGATTTTTAAACTCTATATTTTACCAAACATCATTGGGAAATTTAAACGTAAAATGCGAAATGCAAACCTAATATTCTCTCATATTGTTTAATAAGTTAATAATTTACATTTTTAGTTATTAGAAATTTCAAAACTAGTTACAAATTTGATGATTCTTTTTTGTTTCTTAAAAGTAAACATAATAATTCAACATGTATAATGTCTAGAAACAAATGCAATGTAAAGGCAAAAACAATTGGGCGCAAAATATTAAACTTGATGTCCAAGTTAACTATAAGGTTATAGTAACTAGGATGATATGTTCACTATATTTTGCCTCGTTTCTGTTATGAAGGCATCCAACTTATCAATTATCCTGTTATCCATATGTACAGGATGTTGCTGGGCGTTTTCGGCAGTAGCAGCAGTGGAAGGTGTGACTAAAATCGCCGGTGGGAACCTTGTATCTCTGTCCGAACAACAGCTTCTAGACTGCGACAGAGAGTACGATCGAGGCTGCGACGGTGGGATAATGTCGGACGCTTTCAACTATATAATCCAAAACCGAGGCATCGCTTCGGAGAACGACTACACTTACCAAGGATCAGATGGGAAATGCCGCTCCAGTGCAAGACCGGCTGCACGGATCAGCGGATTCCAAACCGTCCCTAGCAACAACGAACAGGCCTTGCTCGAGGCCGTATTGAGGCAACCCGTCTCTGTGTTGATGGACGCGAATGGGGACGGGTTCATGCATTACTCGGGAGGAGTATATGATGGGCCTTGTGGGACCAGCTCGAACCATGCGGTTACGTTTGTTGGGTACGGAACGAGCCAGGACGGGACTAAATACTGGCTAGCTAAGAACTCTTGGGGTGAAACTTGGGGAGAAAAAGGTTACATTAGAATCCGAAGAGACGTGGCTTGGCCTCAAGGCATGTGTGGTGTAGCACAGTATGCTTTTTATCCGGTTGCGTAAGTGATTTTTTTTAATATATTTTATACATTGGCTACAATTCAAATGAAAAGTATAACAAAGAGGTATATTATATTAGTCACTGATTATTAAAATTTCGGTTGAGGTGCGGTGTGAGTCCACATCGCATCTTTTGAGCCACATTTTATTATTATTATTTGTATTAATGTTCTGTTTACGTCTTCTTGCATGGCGTTAATGTACCTTCTTTTTTTTTTTAATGTAACTTCTAAGACGTATTTATTTGAAGGAAAGAGTTTATATATTATTGATATTTCATCTTTTATATCATGCTTGGATGGGAATGTTAATACTCCAATAGAAAGAGAAAGATTGAGTTAATTAGTATCTAGCCATGACAGCAACAATGGCCATTAGTTGTCGTGGTCGCAGTTCGAATTTTAGTTAGTAGAGACCCGAGTTCGATTCTTCTAACGGCTGTGAAGATAAATGCGCCATAATGGTGATTGGGTCATCACCTTCTTCTGATATACCATAAGACATCTGAGCATTTTTTTATTAATATCTTAATTAATATTACTATAAATTAATAAAATATTATAATTGCGACATTAGTTTATTATACATTCTATATGGTTCGTTATAGTACTGTTCTTTCCATTTAGTCAAATTTCACTATTTAAATCAAAGTTTGTGACATTTTGGTCATTTGTGTTTGATTGCTGTAAGTGGTTAAGTTTCAGAATCTTGGTCAGATTAGAATCGAATCATATATAATGTAAGAATTAAAACAATTGTGACATAATATCCTTCTTACATGTGAGTACTTCAGTGGAAATATTCCTAAATAAATCCCGCACTATCCAAAGAACACTAATTAACAAAACACAATCAATTGATGACTACAAGTCTAAAATAGCATCAATTACCTGTCTATAGTGCTGTCCATATGTTATAAAAATATTTTTTCTTCAAAATTATATGCACACTTGATTTAAAAGATATAAATTAAATGAACAAATGGCGTAGAAGCATGTGAAAATTGATTGGAAATGATTTAAGATGTCCCTCGTGACAAGTATAGCAATAGAATGTCCCACTAACACCATTGATTCATCCACGGGAGCCCCACGAAAACACACCTAAAATGATAATGTGGATGACTTGAAGGATACTTTTTTGCTTTCAATAGTTATTACCAGAATTAACGTGACATCAAATTGTGGCAATAATCACTACTATATACCCAAATAAGTTCTTATTTTTCTTCTTTATCATGATCTCTATCATTTGGTAGGCGGTTAACAGCTCGATTGTAGACATTACATTTACAGGTCACAACTCACATAAGCTGCATTTTCCCAAGAATGCATGTCCAATTTCTTTTACTGTTCCTTTTAGGAATTTTAACGTCATGCATGTAGACATATGAGACATTTCGTTAACGTATAAAAATTGAGGATTTAACTTTTTATATAAAAAAATTGGGATTTAAAAATAAGTTCGACATTTCCTAAACAATTGTTATTTAGTGACAGCAAATTTGGCTACTAATAAAATAGTTGAACCAAAGAGTAGCTAAATAATAATTTGTGAACGAATTGATAGCCTAAAATATTCTTAGATTTCCTAATGAATATGGATCTTTTTGAGAAAAATTGACCCATAAGGCCAAGAATCTCTTCACACTACTTTACCTATGTGTACTACACATATAAGTATGTGCGTGTGTGTATATAAACTCGAATCCATCACAAAGCCTATCCAAGAAAAAAAAAAAAAAAAAAAAAAAACCCAACATCTTTTTTCTTTGGAAGATGGGTTTCAAACATATCTCTCTTTTCCTTCTTCTTTCGCTTCTCATACTCACAATCTTGTCCGGAGCCGACCAAGCCTTGGCTTCTGACAAGAAACAGCATGTAAGCCAACGTAACAAAACGGCGTTGGCCGCCGCCGGAGGAGGAGGAAAAGAGATGTTGAAAGGGAGGAAGCAGACGAGTGGTTGTAACCTGTTCCAAGGGAGATGGGTTTTCGATGCTTCTTACCCTTTCTACGATTCATCCACGTGCCCTTTCATCGACGGTGAGTTCGACTGTCTCAAATTCGGTCGACCAGACAAACAGTTCCTCAAGTACTCTTGGCTGCCTGATTCATGCACCGTCCCAAGGTATGTAACATCAACATTTACATAGATACATTTCAACATGATGATGATCCTAATAACTTGTTATGTATGTAAAATGTAAATGAAGGTTTGATGGGGAAGCGTTTCTGAAGAAATGGAGAGGGAAACGAGTGATGTTCGTGGGTGACTCACTGAGTCTAAACATGTGGGAATCGTTGGGATGTATGATACATTCGTCGGTTCCAAACACTAAGACCACTTTTCTCAAGCGTACCCCACTCTCGTCTCTCACTTTCCAGGTCTGTCTCTTTCCTTTTACCTTATTATAATTTAACATGCGTCTTTAGATAAAAACAAAATCTAATAATTCATCATCACGAGGACGACTTGTCATTTTGTGGAATCGAGTTTGTCACGGGCTATTTTTAAAGGAAGCCTTGTCGAATTTTGCTTTTGATTTTCAATGTAAAGTTGTTTTTGTGAATAAACAAAAAAAAGGTGTTTTGCGAAAATGCTTGACATCCAAGGTATTATGATTTTGTCTGCCTGATGAGTAATGGCCTTCTTTTTTCTTTAATTATTTAAAATTTTTTGAAAAGAATTGATACAACATCTAAAATTTCGAACAAATGACTAATGGAGGTGAGAAAATAGTACAATATATGAATTTTAGAAACAACAAAATTATACGTTGTCTAAATAATAATTTATACAAAATAAGATGCAAAAATATTTGATCATTTATGAATTTATTTTAAATATAATATAATAATATTGGCCATGGAGGAAGAACAATGTATTTTACCAATGAAATTGATGTGTAATATCTATCAGCCGATATTGTAATTTTTTTGTGGACCTCCAATTCGTTTTTTTCTCCACCGTATATCTTTTTTGCCTTTGTTTCAAGCTTTGAGTTTGACTTAGTATTTTGGACATTTCTCTCGTGTCATTGTTTAAATATAGAAATAAATGAATTATCACAAATAATATGTAAACAACAAAGACACTGGAAAGAAACAAAAAGAAGAGAACAAAGCAGGAAAAGGATGTAGGAGACCTGACAGCTAATGACAACCAACTTGTTTTCTTCATTTTATTTTATTTTCAAATCTACAGAACATGTTACCTTTTTTTTTTTTAAATTGGTTTTCACGTTCTTTATAAAGTTACCTCTGTAATTGGGGTTTTATTAAGAAAAATACTCAATTTATATCTTTTAAATTCCTAATTTATCAGGAATATGACGTCACACTATTCCTATACCGAACACCATACCTAGTGGACATCTCTAAAGAAAGTATAGGGCGTGTGCTTAACCTTGGAGCCATCGAAGATGGTGCTGATGCTTGGAAAAACATGGACCTCCTCGTCTTTAATTCTTGGCACTGGTGGACTCACACAGGAGTACAGTCCCAAGGGTCCGTATTATATTATTATTACACTTAGAGCTATCACCATTTATTGTTGGGATTAAGACATGCTCACTTAACCAAACTCATCTTCTGTTCTTCTATTGTTGTTGTTTTTTCAGGTGGGATTTTATTAGAGATGGGTCTTCATTAACAAGAGACATGGACCGTCTTGATGCTTTCAACAAAGGACTCACCACTTGGGGTCAATGGATTGATCAAAATGTTAACATTTCGCAAACCCGAGTTTTCTTCCAAGGCATTTCTCCCACTCACTACATGTAAGTTCATCACACGAATATATGCATATATGATGTTGAAAACTGCGGTTTTAGGTAAAATATATATTATGTCTTGGTTTTCTCGATTTCATAGGGGAAGGGAATGGAACGAGCCGAGGAAAACTTGCAACGGGCAGATGCAACCGTTGACCGGATCAACATACCCAGGTGGTTCACTTCCTGCAGCAAGCATTGTGTCTCGAGTATTGAGCTCGATGAGAACCCCCGTTTACTTACTCGACATCACAACTCTGTCTCAACTAAGAAAAGATGCTCATCCATCTACATATGGAGGCGATGGAGGAACAGATTGCAGTCATTGGTGCCTTCCTGGCTTGCCGGATACTTGGAACCAGCTTCTCTATGCAGCTCTTTCGATGTGAAGAACTTGACTCGATCGATACACACTTGCATGTATATTACATTCTTGGAAGTCGAGAGGAAAAAAAAAAAGAAACGACTGACAGTTTGCTTGGAGATATATATGTGAAGATTTTTTTTTGATAACCGAGTGTCCTGGCCCCACCGAGGTGGTCCAGACTAGAGACCGAACCCTTACGGCACGGACTCGGCCGTGATTGCGGCGCACACCCGAAGGTGGGTCATGGCCAGGTAACGGTCTTCGGTCTCGGGCGCCAGAGCAAGTCCGCATGTAAATTCCCTGGTGGCCAGAGCGAATTATGTGAAGATTACAAGCAGGATATGACGATAAAGTTGTAAAGTGTTTTATATTCTTTTTTCTTGGAGGGGTTTGAAATTATAATGTAATCGTCTTAGATTGTGATTACAAAAACAAAAAAAATGATCTAACCACATTTATGTCCTGGCTTAAATTGTTCAAAACAAAATTCGACTTTGAGTGGTTGTGAATTCCTTCTCATGTACGTAAAACACACTTAAAATTGTAATATTATCACAATAACCATCTTTTTCACAAATAACTTATTTCACAATAAGTTTAGCGTTGCTTTCAAAAAATACCTTATACTATGAACAAAAAACAATCAAGAAAATGCTAACAAAGGACACATGACACAGAACACATCAAGATGAAGACAAAAACCCTCACACAAAACAATATAAAGAAAATCTATAAAAAGACTCGACAATCCGTTCGTATTTCCCCATGTCTCTTCCCTCTCTTTACACCAATGGAACCCATTTTATCCATAGCGTCTCCAAACGCCTTGAGAAACTTCTGCTTATCTCTAGCCATCTCAAGTGCAATGGACTTCGTCCTCGGGTCAAGGAACAAAGCTTGGTCTGACCCAAGAAGGCCCATGTTAGTTCCTAGTCCTGTGAAATATCCATTGTCAAATACAAACGGAGTAGTGGCGTCGAGGGGAAGGACGACTCCGGAGCTTCCGCCGGAAAAAGGACATGACATCCGGAGCTCCTTTAGTAATCTTAGGTCAAGACTCGGGTCAGGTCGTTTTGTGCCTTTGAAGTCGTAGAGACGACCAACGAAATTTTTACAATGGGCGAAGCCGATGGTGTGGGAACCAGAAAGGACTACGAGTTCCTCCACGGTTAGTCCTTTGGACGCGAAGAGCTTGATGAGTTGATCAATGGTGGAGTTTGATCGAGGTATGTTTTGAGGGACGTTCGTTGCCGTTGATCTTTTACCGTCCCACCTTCCTTTTTTCACTTGATAGTAAGGCCCACCTGCCTATTTGGAATCATAACAAAACATTAGTCAACGACACGTAGATATACCATTAACCATCGGAGTG